TCAAATTTTGATGTGATGTGTTATCATCTTATATTCATTTTTAATCTCACCTACTTCTACTATCACCTACTCTTTCTCATCTCAAATTTCAGAATCTACAATCCAGCCCTCCCACTGGCACCATTGCAACCTCCTATGAACTATTAATTAATTAGTTTTTTGCAATCCAACCCTTTAATCTCACCTACTTCCACCGTCACCGGACCACCAACCAACTACAAGTTCTCTCCCTTCTTCTCTCTCCCTTCGAAAATCTCTCCTTTCGAATCTGCAATCCAACCCTCCTTTGAAATAATAATTAATTAGTTTTAATTAATTAAAGTGGATGAGGTCGAAGAACGGAAGCAAAGAAAGAGAGGGAGATCGGTATGRTTCAAAAGAGCAGGGCGGGAGCTGTCTTCCTTTCTGCAATTCAAGGCTTTTTCTGGGAACTCCCTATTCAAATGATGTGATTGTTGGAATGAACACTGGCACCGGATCTTCCTTTTTGCATTTCAAGGCTTTTTCTAGGAACTCCCTGTTTGAACAATGTGATTGTCAGAATAAATACCAGCACCGGAGAAGGAAGTGGAGACGCAAGGACAGTGAACAGAGTGGAACAAACACAGAATTTTACCTCCAAATGATGTGAATAGTGTTTTTTGTGGGAACTCCTTGTTAACCATTGGACTTTACCTTGTGGGAATTCCTTGTTACCTACTTGAATAGGGTCAAATACCGATTAAAAGATTGATGAAAAGGAGAGAGAGAGCAGAGGAAGTTGGAAGATTTGTCCTAATGTGGTACTTTTGTAGTTTTGAAAGTCAAAAAATATATAGATTATACACATTCGTAAAGGGTAAACCCCTATTTTATACATGAACTAATTGCTTTACATGAGGCAGTTTTAAAAAAATTTATGGTGTTTTAATGGACCACATGGGTCCTTTTAATCCAAAAAATTCAAGTCAATTTGTAAATTGACTAAAGAAGTTGGTGATGACTTTTCATTTCTCCCCTTCAGCAATGACTTCTTTCTTGCTAATCATCCAAAGCCTTCTTTTTGCTTTAGGTTTTGAATCTCTTTTCTTATTGCCTTTTGCCATCTTTTGCATTGACTTATCTTCATAACTAGTTGGTTCTAAGTTGTTAATTTCCTTAGCTAATGCAGTATCTATATTCTTAGGGTTAGGATGTCTAACCCTACTTGACCTTCGTAATTCATGTCTTGGTTGCTCTTGTAGCTCTTCCATTTGACTTGGTCTAATATCTTCTGGTGTTTTCTACTCATGAACACTAGTGCTCCATGGTCTTGGAGATTTTTGAGAATCTGATGAGCTAGGTTGAGGCTCTGAATTTTTTTCCTCGTTTAATTTTTCATGTACATTCTCCTCCATGACTTCAGAGTTGGATAGTACCACTCTCTCAGGTGACTATTAAGAAGAAGCTTCATCAAATACCACATTTCAAGATGTATAGCAACGATTGGTATTTGGATCATTGCACTTCCGTCATTTTCTTTCATTATTGTATCCGAGGATTATACACATGATAGGTTTTACTATTAATATGGTTCTACATACTTCAGCTAGATGTCAGTTCTTTCTCTCAACTACTCCATTTTATTGCAGAGTGTTTGGACATGTCAACTATCGTTGTATCCCATGTTTCGTGAGATATTTTGAGAATTTTTTTATGTGTATTCTCCTCCATTATTAGTGCCTTGCCATATTGACTCTCAACTTCAAATTTTTTTTATGTGTATTCTCTTAACTTCAAAATTTTCCTTTAAGTACACCCGTACGTACCTTAAGAAATCATCAATAAATGTTATCATATACCACACCCCGGTATTTGATTCTTACTTCACTTGTCCAAACACATCAGAGTGAATGAGTTCCAAAGGTTGTTTAGCTCAAAACTTTGATTTAGTATATGACAATTGGTGTGCCTTGCCATATTGACATCCAACACATACTATATTGATTCATACTTTCAATTGAGGAAGTCCTTTCAACATTGATTGAGCTTGTTGTATCCAACATGGCCAAGTCTTGCATGCTAGAGATTAGTAGTTTCATTGCGTCGAACTTTTCTACATTAGCTGATCCAGCAGACATTACGTAGATAAACTCTAATTTCTGTCCTTTCATAAGTGGTGCTTCTGGTGTATGTATACTCCGATATACTTCGACATCATTTGGACCAAATACTACAAAATTTCCAAATGCAGTTAATTGAGATAGTGATAATAAATTCTTTTTCATACCTAGCACATGGTAGACATTTTGGAGTTGTGCTTTTACCTTGTTGAAACGCGAGATGCATAATCCTTGACCAATATGGGTGATTGGAAGCCTTGCATTATTAACTGTAACAATAGATTTCTTGCCTTTATATTCTTACATAGATCAAAACATCTGTTTATCTCCTGTCATAAGATTTGAGCATCCAGAGATCCAATCTTGGCTATAATCAACTACTCCAAGATTTGACAAGACAAGTGTCAATTTGGTTGAATAGTCTTCAACATAACAATCGTGCTCATCTGGCTCTATAATACAATAGGAAGCTTTAGCATCTTGTTGTTCTTCACTTTCTTTATCTTCTTGATGATTGGTTGATGTTGCTGAATTTCTTTTTGTTGTACCAGCATTCATGTGCACACAATGACCCTTCTTGGAACAATTATAACATATTACATTGCGTTAAATACTCTTATACTACTAAGTGTCATCTACACGTGTTTGTAAAGCTCCTTTGCTGATATCATTCCTTCTGCTAATAAAATTTAGCAGGCTTCTACTGCATAGGATTTCTGCTTGGCCCCTTCTTCTGAGTGAGAAGTGCTTCTTTTGTTTCTTTGATTGAAACACTAGCCATCTATCTCTTTGTTGGCCAACATATTTTCTAATTCAACAAGTGATGGATGTGTTGGGCAGCCTCTAATAACTGTCATAAACCTGTTATACTCGGGTCTCAACCCTCGTATAATTATTCGTCTCATTTGGGTTTCATTAATTGTGGACTCTTTATCTAACTGAGAGATTTCATCATAGAAGCCCTTTCCCTTTGTAAAATATTAGTTGATTGTTATTGATCATTGACTGATCAATGCAAACCCATTTTTAACATCTGAAGTCGAGCTTCATTTGTTTTGAAAAATAGTTTAGATAAAACATCTTAGGCTTCGCTTGGAGTGTGGGCCTTTTTTATATGCTCTAAAAATTCCTTCTCAACAGTAATTTTAATAGCGTAATGAGCCTTATCTGCCTTGACTTTTCACTTCCTTTTGGCATTCTCGTCAATGGGAGCAGTAGTTTCACCTTCGATTGTTACTTCCAACAAGTCTTTGCCTTGTAGATGACTCCATGCACGTGTGCCAACTATCATAGTTATAGTGGTTTAGCTTCTCCATTCCCGCTAAACCCACTACTATGATTGGTGAGATCCTCTTCTACTTTCTTTCACCAAGAAGCTTAGTATCGGCTTCACAACATCGTGCTGCTCACAATGGATGGCTCTAATCCGATAGAGCAATAGGTAGATCTTCGTTATTCAAACATCAACCTGGCAACAATGTCGGACAACCTGCTCTAGTACCAAATGTAGAGCACAACAAATAAGTGGACCCACACAAAAAGAAATAATATAGCAATATTTAAAGAGAAGCAAATAAATACACTATAACTAAAATTATCTACTATGCATATTACTTAAAACACACACAAATTCACAAACATTTATAGATACAAACTTAAGCTATATACGAACAAAAACATCACACACTTACTATTTAACATGGAATTACAACCCCACGTAGGCAGTTAAAAGACTTTATGGGGTTTTAATGGACCACGTGGGTCCTTTTAAAACCCCACGTGGAATTACAACCCCACGTGAACACTACCTAGAGAAGTCGGTGATGACTTCTCATTTAGCACCACGATCGCCAACTGTAGAGCTATTTTACAAAGTCCCCCTCTCTTCTCAGTGTGTTTAACTCCTCGGGTTTATAATATGGCCCCTTACATCGTTGCTCGTAAAGCTTGTTTTTTGTCCCAAACTCAAACTTGGTGTGTGCCCTCTTTTCTGCAGGAGGATATGTGATAAGCTCCGAGTGTTCTTGTTGCCAATTGGCATAAGTGAAAAAGTGGTTAGGGGTCCCTAGTGCTGCTGAAGTCATGCAATCTGTTACTAAATTGGCAATATTCCAAGGAGGTTGGGACTTTGCCTACACAAGTTTCACCAAAAGTAGACAATCGGACTTGAGTTGACTAATAGTGGACAAGCCTGTTAGCTTCAGCCTCCTCGAGCGACATCAATGACAATCTGATTGATCTCTCATAAACAAAACAACCCCCGGAGTTGCGGATCATGAAACCTGCTCGTACTCTATCTGGGGACGAAGCACCATCACGATTACTTTCGAGAATACCCGGTGGAGGGAGTATCCAACCATGAGAAGAAGTGATATTAGCTACAGGTTTGTCCAACAATTAATGCAGTATATATTTTGGGGAGGGGCAGAGATAGTAGAAAGCACCTCTGAAATTTGAGCATTAGTGATCAATTTAAACAAGGACCTTTGTGGTTGTGCTTCATTGCAAATAAAGGGGGCAGCACCAAGCCATATGGTTTCATGATAGAGCAATGGATGAATCAATGGTCTATGTGTTGTTTTCGTTCAAACTGAGCCCTACTTCACAACATAGAGGCCTAAGGTTTGTGTTGTTTTCGTTCAAACTGCCACCCAAGTAATTGATTCTGCGTGTATATACCTCTGAATCCGAATCCTAATGCACCTTCATCCTTGTGTTGCAAGCAGGATTCCCGTCTCTTCAAATATATATGACGTTTATCATATCGCCAACACCACCAAAAATCCCTCGCCATGTACACAATTTCCTTCGTTTCCTGCTTGCAGGTAGTCCTTGGAGATTGAAGCTTCATTGAGTCCAGATCACTTGCCAACAACCTACCAACATGATCTCATACATGATGAGCCCCACCCCACCTTTATGGTGGGTCCTAATCTCATGGTAAAATGCGCGATATTAGATCAAATTGGTAAGGAGTTGAAACGTCTTTTATTAGCAGAAGATCCCAATTTGCCTTCATTGGCTTCGTCTAAGGAGGCTGACGTCATATTTTCCACTGCAGCACTGCCCGTAAACCATCCTCCTCAATTTCTTCCTCACAACATTCAAGCTTAGCCTTGATTTTCTCGATGCTGCAACAAACCTCAAATGACCCCAAATTGTCGAATCAGGGATTAATGCTTGAGCTCCACAGGGCTCACCTATGCTCCGGGGTTGTTCTTCACACACTAATCCAGCAGCCCATGGGCTCTCAATAAAGCTGTTGGGCCACAACTAGGTCCACTCAAGAGATCGATAGACATGGGCCCCCACCCATACCATGCTTCGAAGACAAATTCAAATTCAAAATCAGCACCAAAGTGGAACCCACCCTGCCATCCTCCGGTCCTCCAATGCCAAAGGAACCAGTGCTAGGTGAACGTTGGCCACTGCCGCCCGAAAAACGCTCTCCGTTTCCTTCCCCCCGACCCTGGCCGCAGCTCCACTATGCGAATACTGTCTCCTGTGGACCAAACGAGACCTGGCCATTGGACACAATCACTGGATTCCTCTCTTTGTCTACTACCACCACCCACCGGGAGTACATCAAACGCATTTCAGTCATCTTTGTCATTAAATTGGATATTGGGTATATCGCACGGGAAATGGTAAAACTAAAATGAGACCAGATTTGCTCCTAACACCTTGTGCCTCACTGGCACCTCACACGCACATCCTGGTATGCAATGAGAACATTTCCCCTACTTATTAGTGAATATTCCCGGGAGATGTTTCCAATACACTGTGGATGTGCCTGTGAGGCGCCCATTTGTGACGAGCAGATCCCGTGTACCTCCCACCTGACTCATGCTGTGAGGTCAGTGAGAGGAGCATATGTAGACTAGTTTTAGTGTTTCTTTAACATACCAATAAGAAGGTTCCGTTGTCACTTTTGGCTTTGATTGTGGGACTTTAAAAAGCTTTCCCTCCTCTTGACAAATTTCTCCCTTACAACTTTAATAATCTTTCACCTAGCTAGGACCTCCATCGTTAGAGAACTATGTATGATGACATGGGGAGTCCACTAATCTCCACTCTAGGCTCTCCTCCACTGCAGTCATTGAGAGCATCCCCTAACTCTTTAATGAATGCCCAACACCGAGTGTGCAATAGGATCCCAAAATCCTTCACCCACAAATTTCTATATTTGTCAGAAACACAGACTTTCTTAATGGAAGAATACCTTTTCGACACTGTTAATGCTCATCCTCTAAACCTGAAAGTTCAAGGACGAAGATGAAGCAACCTCGGAAAAGAACCAACAATTTTGAATGAAGTCTCTACCTTGTTTCCATCAAATCTGCTAGTGCATTGTGATTTACAATGGAGTGGAAGCAGTTGATGAGACTCCTCTAAGGGCTTGTTTGGTTCATGGGTATAGGGGTCTGGATTCGAATCAGAATGCATCATTCCGGTTCTAACTGTTCGGTTGGGGGAATGCCATTCCCCCATTTGCATTTGAGGGAATGGCAATTCCCTCTTCCTCTCTTGAGTATGAAATCACATCCCAACTGATTCAAATTCACTTTTTGATTCCTGTTTGAACCCAACAGACAGACTATGGGAATACATCAGTCTGATTCCGATTCCAAGGTATTACAATTTCGATTCCTATTCTGACTGTGACTGCAAACCATATAGACCCTTAAAAGTCTTATGAGAAAAGATGGAAAGTGATTGGCATGGATCCTTCCCGGAGGTTGATTTTTTTATTTTTTATTTCTCTACAACATTGGGTTCAGAAGAACACTTGCTGCTCTATCTTGTCTTCGACAAGCCACGACTACTGTAATGGTTCCATTCACAACTTTGATCATCATCTTTCTAGTCTAGATTCAATAACGAATAAAAAGTCCATCGTTGTTTAATACAAAAGGATCCCTTCACATGACATATGACAAATCTGGAAAACACAACTAATTTTATACAACTGATTAACTTTTTTTTTTATAATAATATAGATACAAACTTAATTATTATATATCAAGCTAAAGATAATCACATAGAAGGAGAGGAATTTTAAATTTTTTATGAGACGACTTTTTTTTGAGATGCCAAAATTGACTTTTATAAGTCATTTCATTTCAATTAAAATCATATAGTTGGGTAGAGAATATTGATAAGCTGTCCAGAAATTCTTTTTCATTGAAAACCACATAAGTCCATAACATGTACATGAGAGAACCAGAGCAACCAGAATCTAGATTGACCCAAAATCAATCCAACCCAACCACCTCCATATTCTTAGTGAAGGCTACAAAATCAATCCAATCCAACCCAAAATCTAGATTGACCCGACTATGTATTCTTAAGGAGTCGGGTCTGGATTGGTTCTAGTTAGTAGAACCATTCTTGAACCAATTATTAATTGAGACAAAAGAATGGACACAGAACCGTTCCGATTAATAATCTGGTCCTATCGGGTCTTATCTGATAGACTCAATTATTCTGAAAATTATATTTATTTATTTAAATAATAGCATAAAATGTAAATTTTGATAATGTAAACTTAATAATAAAATACTAAATTGTTTATATGTTAATATAATAAGCATTTTTAACTAATATAATTATCATATATATTATCTATCAAATTTACTATTTCAGRAATGAAATATAATGAAAATTATAATAAAATTAGGAAATATCATATATATTTAATAAAATATTTGATTTGGGACAAACAAGAACCCAAACCGATCTGATTATTAGTCAAACAAACTCAGGAAACCAGAACTGACAACCCATTAAGAGCCCTATTTACAATATCACTACGTCGACAATTCAGCTGTGGTGCGAGTTAGTGTTGCCCCAAATCCAATCCAATAGGATTGGGTCAAAATGGGTTTACGACAAAGCCATAACTGGACTACTGCTTGTAAAGATCTTTAATGAATCGATCATGCATACTAGTGCTCAACAGTAGTCAACCTACAACAGTAAATAGATTATTATATTGTCATTTACCCATTTGATGYATACTTTATAACCATTCATTGGAAGTTTCAGTTGCACAAAGTAAAAGTGTTAAAGAATTCAGTGTGAAAGAAGAGACCACGACCAACAACTGGTGGGTTCACCATTCAAATTATAATATGGATTGCGCCATTAATTAATACAAGTAGTACTGTTACATTGTTAGTAGTTTAATACCAAATGGAATTATGTATTTGGATATATAGACGTACGTTGAACGTGTAAATGGATGTACAAATAGGTTTCAAAGTTTCAAATTACCAATCTATTGCTATAAATAGGAGAACTCAGTCACAAGTATTACTTGCCCCCTTTCTTCTCATAGTCGACCCCAATCCCATCTTCTTCTCTTGTTCTCTAATCCAGTCTAGCTACATTAACATCATGAGAGTTGCCAGAATTCTGACTACAATACTCATTTTCTTTAGATTTTATTCTTTTTATGGAATCAGCACTACTGCCACCACTAAGGTGAGGTTACCATTTCTACACTCAGTGGGTACTGGGTAGTTCAAAGTTCTCTTATGTACAGAACAGATTACTTTTCTTTTGGACTGATTAGATTATGATATTTAATTTATAGATAGACTAGAGATTTTTTTCCTTTGATCTTATTAACTAATCAGAGGAAGATAATTCATCAAAAATGGCAGCATTACGTAGTTTACATGGGAGATCACTCTTATCCAAACTCAGGTTCTGTGATCAGTGCCAACCATGAACTACTTGCTTCAGTCCTTGGCTGCAGGTAGGACACGAGTTGCTCCAAATTTCTGAATGTAATGGATTAGATTATGTTTGTACATCTTCCCTTCAGGGAAGTTCTGAACAAATTAATGCATGCTCAACCATTTTTCCAGTGTTGAAGGAGCACAAGAGGCAGCAGTGCACCATTATACGAAGAGCTTCAGAGGCTTCTCTGCTATGCTTACGCCAGAACAAGCACGTCTCCTTTCTGGTATATATGTGMTTGTTTTAACTTGTATTATAAGTTCAATATTACATAAGCCAGGAATAAAGGYTGTGAACTGGAACACCTTGAATGAACCAGTTTCGGTTGATGTTTCAGAAAGCGAATCGGTTGTCTCCATCTTCGAGAGTAGGGAACATCATCTCCATACAACACATTCTTGGGAATTTCTAGGAGTCGATTCTATTCATCAATATAACAACCTGCCGATAGACGCCAAGCCTGATTTGATTATCGGAGTCATCGACAGTGGTAAATGCTCTAGTTTACATATATATATATATATATATATATATATATGAGCAAGCTTATTTGATTATGTAATCACTGATCATCATCTACAGTGGCTATAAATAAATTAAAAATGAGTTTTGGACTTGCCAGGAATTTGGCCTGAATCGGAGAGCTTCAACGATAGAGGGTTAGGACCTGTGCCCAAGAGATTTAAGGGGAAGTGTGTCCCTGGACAAAATTTTACAGTGGTCAACTGCAACAGGTATGTTCAGAGGTTGTGGACCGATGGAGTAGTGGGTAGGCACTGTATAAAGCATGAGATTTGGATTTCCAAGCTTTGTCAATTACTTATTGCTGGGATTTAGGTATGAGTAGTTAAAAAAAATCTTACATTAGAAAGGAAAGGAATGAGAAGTGCAAGAAACTTGTACAAGAGCGACTCATAATCTAATAGTTTAAGCTTTGGGTTGTATGTGGTGTCCCTCGGTTTTAATGGCTCCCCTCAATAATTCATAACAGTGAGTATTGTGGATTTGAATTTTGCRGGAAAATCATAGGGGCCCGGTACTACTGGAAAGGATTTGAAACAGATATTGGACCTCTTGAATCTTTCGGCGTTCCTTTCTTCCAGTCAGCTCGAGATGAGAATGGGCATGGCACACACACTGCTTCTACAGCGGCAGGATCTGAAGTGAGCAATGCCAGCTTATTCGGCATAGCTGCTGGTGTTGCAAGAGGAGGTGCCCCCACTGCTCGGCTTTCCATCTACAAGGCTTGTTGGCTTGCCGGGCGTTGCAGTGATGCAGACCTACTCTCCGCCATTGATGATGCTATTGATGATGGCGTCGATATAATCTCACTCTCAGTGGGCGGGCCAAATCCTACCTACTTCGTGGACGCAACAGCCATCGGAGCCTTTCATGCATTTAAGAAGGGAATTCTGTTTTCAGCATCAGCTGGAAACGAGGGAGTTAGTGAGCCAATATCTAACGGGGCTCCTTGGATCCTCACAGTGACAGCAAGTACTGTGGATCGAGAATTCAGATCGGATGTGTATCTCGGAAATTCCAAAGTTTTAAAGGTAATTAACTTGTTACCAGCTGCTGGTGTCTGTCTTAGTTAATTTTGCCAAGATTTATTTATTAATTCTTGAATATGGATCGAAGTGCATTTTGATTGATTGAGATCTTGATCAGGGATACGCATTAAACCCATTCAAGATGGAAAGGTATAATGGTCTAATAAAGGCTAGTGATGCAGCTCTTCCAGGCGTTCCTCCTCTGAATGCAAGGTATATATCTGTCGTCGTCTCATGGCTTAATTATAACCCTTTTAACCAATTTGTCCATGAAAGTATTAATATTCCATATCCGATTTTGTTCTGGAATAATTAACAAATGCTTGCTGTTTTCAGCATGTGCCAGAACAACACTCTTAATCGCAAGTTGATTAAGGGAAAGATCGTGGTGTGCGTCCTTTCGTCGGAAACAGACACTTCAGGGAAAAGCATACAACAGGGTGGCGCCAGTGGGATTATACTCATCAATCAGTTTCCCTGGGAGCTAAAGCTCCAGCTTGCCCTTCCAGCCACTGTGCTTCCTGTAGATGACGCAAAAGTTCTTATAGCATATTTTGATACAGAAAAGTAAGTAAACGGCAATATGACATGGTTGCTTGATGGAATGTAGTGAGAGCCATCCAATGAATGGTTCATAAGCATATAATTTGGATTTTGGACCGGGTTGAACCCAACACTCCAACCTCATCACTAACCCAAATTTGGGTCGGGTTCGGTTGGGGCGAAGATATGGTTAAAATTCTTCATGCATGCAGCCCTAATATTCTACGACAAAGACCATTCTGATCGATTTCTGAGAATGATGATTTATGTTTATTTTGCAAATAATAGGAACCCAACTGCAAAAATATCTCCCACCCAGACTGTTGTCCACACAAGTCCAGCACCAACTGTGGCTAGGTTCTCTACAAGGGGTCCCAATACCATAACGCCTGATATTATCAAAGTATGTTACTTTCATATATAGTTAATTTGACTACAAGGGGTCCCCCCCAATACAAAAATGTTGACACTAGCTAATTAATGCAAAATAAAATCTTTGTGCTTGTAGCCGGACATCACAGCCCCAGGAGTGCAAATTTTGGCAGCTTGGCCTTCGATATCAATTGATGAAACTGGTGGTCGATCTACTGATTATAACATAATATCTGGTACCTCCATGGCCTGCCCACATGTTTCAGGAGTTCCTGCTATTATAAAATCTGTTCATCCTTCATGGAGTCCTTCCGCCATAAAATCAGCAATTATGACAACAGGTGACAAATTTCTTACATCTTTCTCCACACCCTAATTTCTACTAATTTACATTACATGGAGTGAGGTTTCCTCTTTTTTTTTTTTTTTTTACAGCTACGGTACTCGACAATACTCAAAAACCCATATTAGGTATCACATCAAATCAGTCAGTGGCAACAGCAGCAACACCTTTTGATTATGGGTCGGGACACATAAACCCAATTGCAGCACTTGATCCTGGACTAGTATACGAGTTTGATTCCACTGATATCATCCAATTCCTTTGTAGTTACGATGCCACACCTGCACAATTCTTCAACTTAACAGGAAAGAAATTTGTTTGCAAAAAACCATCAATTCCCTCCTACAATTTCAACTATCCTTCAATTGGAGTGGTAGACATGAAGGGAAGYGTCTCAGTGCATCGGACAGTCACTTACTATGGAAAGGATCCAACAACAGTTTATGCCGTATCTGTAAACAAACCAGAAGGCGTGGACGTTGTGGTCAGACCTAGCAAGCTCAAATTCGGCAAAGCTGGTGAGAAGAAATCTTTCAAGGTGGATTTCAAGCCCTACAAGAAAAGTGGAAAAAGCTTTGTCTTCGGGGACTTAACATGGAGCAATGGCATCCATAATGTTAGGAGTCCCATTGGCGTCAATGTGCTCTCAGTTTAGCATTTTTCTGTTAGTATTATTTAAGCAGCCTAGCTATATCTAATATCTATGTACTCTTGTTCTCTTCTCCTAGTCCTAGATGGCATTTCCAATAAAGGAAGAAACTGTAGCAGGAGTACATATACATCATGCTCAAGTGGCTCAACTGATGGATCAGATTATCAAAATACCTCTGCAAAAAAATGCCCCATTGGTTTCAAGATTCTCTCAGCTTATAAGGGAATTTTGAATTGTTCGGCTTCAAGCACTTGTCTCAATGCGTATGCGACAAYTAAAGTGGAAGAAATTATAGACAATCAAATTACTCCCACTGATAAATACTTTGGAACACCTTATTGTTTAAATACTTGGGAATCTTTGGAACACCTTTTTCTGCATTGTCCTAGTGCCAGGTTCTATCTTATGTATATGATCTAAAGAAGTTAGTGGGTCCTTGTTTAATTGCCTCTGTCAATGGATTATGGCATCTAATGATCAAGACGACGAGGCTCCATTCATCATTGTAGCGGCTTTAATCTGGTAGTTGTGGTGTGCTCGTAACAAGCTAATTTTTTATAAAAAAATTATTCAACCATCCACTAGCCATCATTTCAAATACAATGTCTCTACTTAGTGAGTACAAAGAAGCACATCATGAGGTCACAAGAATTTCTGAACCATTGATCCAGTCCTCTCGGTTAGCTATGTCATGGTGCCCACCTCCTGCTATACTGCTGTCTCAGATTTGGAACTAGGGGTAAGTATGGGTCAGTTAAATATTAAAACGAAAAAATGATTAAATCACTTAACTTTATTATTCAAGGTCTTTGTAATCATGAATGTTTGGGTCTAAATCTTTACATCCTCAAAAGTGTTTTGAAATTTATTTCAAGGCAAGTTCAGTTTCAAGGCTGATTCATCAAGTTGGTTTAGACAAGGTAAATCTGTTCCAAGAATTTAAAACCAAACCTTATCATATAAAAAATTAGATAGGGTGAATTCAAAATCAACAATTCGAGGTTGATTCCATTTGATTTTGGATAAAAAGTAAAATCTACACATTTGCTTAGGGCAATACTTTTCTCGCATGATGCAAAAGATGTTCTATTCGTAATTATTTTTTTAAATATGTGAGTATTGATTATGTGGTTCATGTGTACTTATATATACTTTCATTATTTATTTTTGATTGTATGCTCATTATTGAGTAGAGATATTATTGCTACATCTATATTGGTGTGTGAGACATATCATATAACCGCTATGCCACACTTACATTAGCAAATCATATTGCTTGGTTTTTTTTGTTAAAATATTGCTTGGTTGAAAAGGTTATAAAGGTTGTATTAAGGACATGCAAAAACAAAAGCATCAACAATGTACAGAGTATAGGTTTTGATGACAGAGCATTAATAAACCTGAACCAGATGAAGCATGAAAGCAACCATGAACCGAAGACATCCTCAAAAATTGGATCAAAATCAGACATACCCTAATTTCATCCTATTAAGATCCCAGCCCAGGAATATTTTATATGCATACATATATGTAAATACATGTACATATTTGCAAGAACAACATTGTTCTTCATCGAATCTCCCATGTGGAAAATTGGGTTGGGGCCAAAAATGGCCACATAGACCTCTTGTTATCCCTCTTATTCACCACAGAATTTGAGCCTAAAACCCTTTTTTCGATGTGATCAGAGTACACCCTTCTTTTTAAGTTTTGTATTAAAATGGTAAAACTTCTTACAGTGGTTCAACCCAGAGGATCTCCATTCCCTACCCAGTAGATGACTCAATTGAATACAAAGCATTTACTGCGTACAAGTTCTTGCAAGAATTATTGCTTCTGCATCCAAGTTTATCTTAATGACATGAATTAGTGGTGGGTGCCACTTCATCCGCATCGTTTTCTATCATTTTCCATCTTATTTATCACACCAAGTAGGACCCTACTGTTTAGAACCAAAAAAAAAAAAGTAGGGACTGTCTACTTTTTTTTTTTTTTTTGCTTAGCATGTACATGAGAAAATATACATTTGACAAGATCCACAGAAAGGCCCAAAAGTATTAGGGCAACAAATAACTGCTTTACAGATAAGATCTAAGGCTGCATTTGGCATTCCTTATTTTAAGGACTTTTCTAATACATATAAATACTGAGTTTTTAACTGCAAAAAAGGAAATAAGTCCTTAAAATAAGGTATGTCAAATGCAGTCTAACTCATCTAAGCACCCCAGCCTTATATAGATAATTAAACTATCAGTCAATATATTTAGAATTCAAAGAATTCATCGGAAAGAAGACTGTAAAGCTCTCACAACCTCCTAGCTAGCTTTAGGCATTAAATGGCTGAGCACCCAAGGCCCACTCCCCCTGTGGTTGATCCAGTTAATCACATTAGCAGAGTCACCTAACACTAAGGGGGTGTTCTTTTTTCGGATTTTGAGAGGGGGGAAGTTGGTCAATGGGCTTTTGGTTCTCATTGACCAAGAATCCCATGTTCATTTTTCAGATTAATGTGGAGACTTGAATGGGACAAAAATGCCCCTTTTAATAATGATTTTTATGGTTAAAATGGTCATTTCCCTTTTTACTTGAGAAATAAAAGAACATAAGTAAATACACTTACTTGAATAAATGTTTCCCAAGAAAAGCTTACCCATATAATTGCATTTACCCGGATAAATAACATACCAAAAAGCGAATGGAGCCCAAAAGAGAATAAACACCCGGTCTTTAGGCAATTCGAATAGTAGGAACTATTATTTAGTGTAATAATAAAATCCCAAATCCCAGACTAGCAAAAGTGAGAATGTGGGTTTAAGTCGAAGAACCGCCACTTTGTGTAAAAAAAAATACCAAAGATTAGAACTATATCCAGCGTATCCTTCCCAGGACCCAGATAGCTAGAACCAATATTAGATAATAGCTTTATATTCTATATAATGGCCTATCCCTCCCAAGACCATTTCGGTGCACTGGACCTGATATTTTTTATTGGTCCCAATCCAAGTTACGTCGGTGAGATATTCCATCTTGGTATAGCTGTACTGTTTAATTTATTGGAAAAAATGTGCTTCCCATCCGCCGCCTCCATCCACACAATTCACAGATTGGGTCATATTTGGTCTCTTTTGTAAGTTGCCTGTTTTCTGTTTGGAACCTTACTTTGATATCAAAGGAACCACAACGATAATTGATTTTTTGAAGGGCATTTAATTCAGAATGATTGACCATCTGATGTGGTTCCCCACCACAATATTTCCTCTTGTTGCTAGGGGATACATGATAGTGACGCCACGTTTGATTGGTATGATTTTAAGTAGAATAAAGATGAAGTGGTCGGATTTGATAACTTATTACTTTGTCTTTTGGTGAATAAATAGTTAAAGCTACATTTGAAATGAAACGATGCAAATAAGTGTGAATGTAAATATGTAGTGTAAAATGGTTCATATAAATTTCAAAGTTAGATTAATTTTGCACTAACAAATTTATCTTTTTACCAAACAGACTTTTAGGTCTAATGGATGCAAACAAGAATTCCAATAAAGCATGTCTTTTTTTTTATCAAAAATCTACTTGAATGCAAATTTACTTTTTTTTTATTGATGTACTCTTACATCTTATTATAAATGTAAATATGCATTGAAAAATGTGTTTTCGGTCATTTGTTAATACATAAATGTAATATTGCCAAACACAGGCAAAAGTGAACCAGAATGCAAATTTACCCCGAACCGGGATATACACTCCATTTGCATCATTTCCAAATGCAACCTAAATAACATTCAAGGGTTTAGTAATCAATCTATTCGGTTTCAGGATTTCACAAACTTAACTTAGGTTTGCGTTTGAATAAGATTCAGGGTTTGTGTTTTTAAAGCCCAAAATCACAAAGCCCCAGTTTTAGGCTTTGGGATTTGAGTAGGGCTCTCAATGGATCAGGTCTATCTGGTGGATCCAGATCGACCAAACCAATTATAATGTTTCTAGTTTCATGATTTTGTCCCAATTAATAATTGAACCGGTTCTAGTTTTGTCTGCCGCAAACCATTTCAGACCCAGAACTGATTATTTTATTAAAATATAAAGTATTTTCTTAATTTTCTTATAATTAATATCACATTTTAAGTTTGAAATGATAAATTTGATACATATTAAACAAGAGAATATTAGTTAAAATATTTAATTTATAATATATAAATAATTTAGCATTTTTCTGTCATTTTTAATAAAGTTATGTTATCAAAATTTAACTTATAAGTTGTTATTTAAATAAATAAATATTGTTTTAAGTATAATCACATCTATCGGATCTAGACCAGATTATTAACCAGGACTGATTTTGTCCCAATTAATAATCGGTTCGAGACTGATTTTACCTGAACCTGAGTCAGACCCGACCTGTTGACAGCCTTCTTAAAAGTATTTTGATTTTAAATTAATTGTCATGTTTTCAAATTAAGCAACTCTTACCAAACATTCAAAACACATGTTGGCTCACTTTTTGCCACAGCTCAAAGCTCAAAAGCAAAAGCTTTTTCAAATGGAGTCATAAAGGGCATCCGACAACATTGAATCCTTATAACTTTTAGACACTTCTACCGCTGATGAAACATACAATTTCTATTCTAAAATCCCTCATATTTTAATTGAATAATAAATATGTTAAATAATTAATAAAATAATAATTAGAAAATATGTAGCAGAAAATAATAACAAAGATAATTAGAAAATACAATCGGTTCTTAGAACAGTTTTGCTTTTCACACATCTTTTTTGTAATAAAATACAAGATTAAAATATAAATTAAAAAAAGAAATACAAGAATCCCAAAAACATCACCAATATCTTGACCACCTTGAGGCTGGAGCAAAAAATACCAGCCCAATGAAATTAAGAACAAAACCGAGATACAAAGAAAAGGCCCATCCAGAAAACCACAGGCCTCTCGAACCAAAGGCCAAAGCCAAGCCCAACACATCCAAACAAGTAACGGGTTTGAGCACAATGGCAAAACAAACTATTTACTTTTGCCAATTGTGGGTGTCAATTGGACTGGATTTGGTCTAATCCGATCCAGTCTAATGTGAGTCTATTACAAATGGATCAGGT